CCCTTAATCCTTCTTCAATAAAATCACAAAGATCACATCCTTAATTAGAAAATTTAAAAGGAAATGTCCTTAATTAGTAAAGAAAAAAAATTATATCCTCAATTAAAAAAACTTTAAATATTGTATCCTTATTTATTCAAAATCTCCATTTATTTCAGTTTTGCAGCAACATATATAGTTTTTTTTAAAAGTTATTTTAGTTTTATCTAATTAGAATTTATTAAAAATAACATAATTTTGTGATCTTTAATTTTTCTCTTAATTTTTTAGAGATCCAATTGATATATACATAAGAATTATTGGTCAGATTTCTAAAAAATTAAAAGTAAAAACAATTCAAAACTTTATTATTTTAATAAAGCATTAAGAAAAGACCAAAACAGCCGCATTCTTACTTTAAAAATAGACTATTTTAGTCTTTTTCAATGAGAGATTAATGAAACTTTGTAGTTATGGGATGTTTTTCTTCCTAATTTTTTTAAAGATCTAACAAAAAAACACTTTTCTCTATATATAATTATTTTTTGATATAATTGAATTGAGCTAAACCAAGTTTTGGATTCAATTTTATTTGTCAAGCTCAGATTTGAGCTCGAACTTAAGCTTTTGATAGTGAAATCAAACCCAACTTAAGTTCAAGTCAAATAGTTCATGAGTAACTCAATTTATTTATAACTTTACTTAATCGTCCAAATTAAATACATCCAATTATCAATTTGAGATCAACACCCTATTTGAATTTTGTTATTGTTATGATCACCTCCCATTTTGTTAAGATTACATAAGTTTATTTACTTTGACTATTAAAAACAATTAATTATTAGTAAAATAACTAATATTTATTATTTAACATATTAAAATCAGTTTATAAACTAATATTTTTAGACATTATAACCAATTATTTTAAAAAAAAACTACAAACAAATAAAATATCAATTAAACTAAATAATTTTGACATAATCTTAATAAAATAATGAGTAACAATAACCACAACCTCTGAATTTCTCTGCTTCCAAATTCTAAGACTACCGTACAGCCAAATCAAGAAAGCTCATGCAAAGAAGCAAAACACAATTATGCAAACATATCCCATAATTAAGGGGAAAATAAACTAACAAACCCACATTTTCATCTTTTTACCATTTCCCATGGCAATCATGTTAAAAATCACAACCCGCTATACCCTACAATACTAAACAGTAGATTTTTTTTCCCCTGAGCGAAAAGGGAAGTAGTATTAGGTAACTATTGTATTGTAGACCAAATTTTTTTTTTTTGTTCGCTGTTCAAAAAAAAAGGGAAGTAGTATTAGGTAATTAAACAAAATGAGACCAAATATTAGATTTATTAATAAATAACCATTGTATTGTAGATCAAATTTACAAACTAAAATTAAAATTTTGATTAATTCTATAAAAAATTAATTTCTTAAATTCATTAAGTTAGAAATGCACCCTTAATATTGTCTGGAAAGATATTAGTTTTGAATTATATAAAAACTAATTTACAGGCACTTTGATGATGCAAACTAGAAGAAAAAAAAATTGAACCATGCCAGGGAGGATTGTTGTTCTTAATTGGTTAAAATAGACCGATCATTAATTGCTGTTGGGAACTTGGGATGGTGGTCCAATTAGCCCATAAATATAATAAAGGCTTATAAAGTCCCAATATAAAAAAAAACACTTATATGAGTTATTATGTAACTTATACACACACAAATGAATTCAAAAAGGTTAACAAAAATGCAATATATGTTAAATACCCCACATCCCAGAAAGGTAGAAAACTCTCTGTTGGTCACTTCTTTCTCTACCATGCTCTTTGTCTCTCTAATGAGATTACTAATTTCTTTTTTTTGAACAGCAAGATTACTAATTTCAATGTTGAAGTATTTTTTTAATTAGTTTTTTAATATCCGGTAATCACATTAGAGTTCTGATTAATCCGAAATTAAGTCGCGTCCCATCTCATTAGGAAAGAAACTCTCCCAGTGCTCATTTTTCTATTTACAAAACTCGAACTTGATTGAGATCTTGTTTAAGAGGAACCGAACTTCTTCCACTTAATCTAATAAATCGTTGGTACGTCGAAAGATTTATCCTGAAATAATTCTCAAGTCTGTTTTGCAAGTTTCTCTTTGTTGTTTTAACAAAAATTAACCGGAGCACATTTTTTGCCCGAACAATATAATTACCAAGGGAACCATTTCATTCATTCAATAGTGTCACAAGAGCAGTCTTCAAACAGAGAATTTTTAAGAAAACAATTCACCAAAAATGAAAATCAGTAGTACTACTATGTCCTCTCTTATTTTTGGAAAAGAAACATAAAACTCAAAGCAGCAGAAGACACGTTCATTAGTTCTTTTTGTCAACAGAAACAAAAACGAAACACCGCACTGCCCCTTCCCTGCCGTTAGCTAACACTAAGGCCAACGAAGCAGCGGCATCACAAAGAATTTCATGTTGCCGTTCTTGCAGTGGAAACGATTAGGGCCTTCACCGCAAGCGAAGTAGTGAGGCCGCCACTGTTTCAACACGAACTCAAACCCGTTCCCACGCCCCTCTGTTATATTGGCAACCATCTTGGCTTGGCTAAAGTCGCAGTTAATGAAGCTCCATAGGTTTGGCAGCAAGTACACACTGTGAGAAAATGTCACATTTGGAGAATCATACTTGAACACTGCAACCACCACAAATATATCAGAAAAAGAATAGAAATGTATAAACGCGGCTAGCTGAATAAAGAAGAGTGATGTAAACCATGATAAAAACACCCGTTTAAATCCTTTTATCATCATATCAGTAGATTATATGATATCCAACTTACCTAGAGTATCATTGAAGTAAAAGGGTGCATTCTTAGATGCCCAATCAGTGTAATTAACGCCAAAGTGCCAGTTATCCGATCCACCAACGATGATCTTCTTGGAGTTACCTGTACGGTTGGGTTGATGGTGGGAGCCCCAGGGCCCCCAACCCCAACCTGCTGTTTTGTTATGCCTGTAGGTCCAGTCCCTGTTGGCCATGCTAACTCCCAACATGGAAGCAGCCATGACCACAAGGATAAGAAGTTTTGCACTTGAGCAACACATGTTGTTGGAGCTCAAGAAAATGGAAGGAATTAGAGAGATATAATTGATAAAATTAATTGGATGTTTTTGTTAGTATTAGGAAGAGAAGGGAAATGGTTTATATAGGGAGATCAGAGGGGAAATGGTAATGGTGGGGATCTGCCAAATTGACCCTTTTTCTAAATTGGTTAGGCGAGAAATTGGACATATGAATCAAATGTCTTTTGCCAAGTTTTCTCCCAGTAGTTCACATATAATTTTTGTTCCTAATTGCCTTCATCTTGCGCGTTTACACAAATAATCTTTAAAGTGGTTTCATAGGATATTAAGTTCTAGAGAAGAGTAAAAAGAAGGAAAAGGTCGCTACCATTTTTTTTTTTAATTTGAAATATACATCACATATTACATTTAATTCAAATACAAAATGATTCTTAAAATCATATAAACTACGACAACAAAATAAAAAATAAAAAAAACATAAAAAATAAAACATAATAAAGTTCACATATGTGAATGATGTATTTCTAAAATTATCTAAAAAAAATAATTTTAAAATTAAAAAATTAATTTAAAAACACCCTAACAATAAATATTAAAAAAAATATAACTAGTCCCACACATGTACCCCAATTCATTAGGAATTTTAACTTTTTCCCATGCCGAAGACTATTTGTAAGTTAATTGTATATATGATGTAATAATGATTGCATACATAGTAATTTCTTTTAAATATTAAAAAAAGGTTAATTACCGATTCTAGCGTCTCAATTTTGAATTTTGAACAATGGTCCTTAAACTATTTTAAATACTGTTTTAGTTACTTAACTTTAAAAAAATGTACTTTTTTCTTTTTTGCCCTTCATCAGTTGTGCCCATTAATTCAATTCAAATGATACCTTTTGTTGATGTGGCAATAACAAGTCATTAAATTAGGATTTATAACACCCAAAAATGTTTCCAATATGGGCCGCACACAGCCTAATTAAACATCATTATACTAACTAATTTTAACTAAATAAGTAGGCAATCATTTTCTCCCTCCTCCCCTGCTCTAACATTCATTCTTCATCACCATTCTTCACAAATCAAAAAACCAATTCAAGGAAAAATAATTATGCAGTCATCAATCAATTCTCCATTATCATCAAGTAACAAAATTATAATTCAGAAAAAAAAAAAAAAAACTAAAAAATCCTTTTTTTTCCTTGAAAAACTCATACCCAGCAACTGGATTAAATAAAACGCAGATCTAGGTTCAAACCTAGCAAGCGCTCGGTTCAATTGAAATCCATCCTTTTTCTTGCTTGATCCCCAAAAGCTTGAGGGGGAAGAGAGGGAGAAGAGGAGAGGGGGAGTCTAAGGAAGAATAAAGAATTAGGGTAATTTTTAAATTTCGTAACTTCTATTATTTTAACTTATTAAAATTGTGGTTTAATAGGTGGTGTGTCCAACTAAGCAATTTTGCTTATGTGTAATTTCTATTCGTTAAAAAATTTAAAAGAAATTTGTTATTTAGAGAGTCATTTAATGGTCACGTCGTATTGAGTTTATGGAAAGATTAAAAAATTATATTTTTAAGAGTTGAGAAATAAAAAAAATATTTAAAATAATTTAAGGGCAAAAAATATTTAAATTTTAAAGTTGAGCAACTTAAAATTGGAAACCTTAAAAAAGTTGTGTGTTGTATATTTCTTAGTAAAATTTCAAAATTGCAAAAACAAAAGAAGTCTCTTTTTTCTTCCTATGAAAAACAGATTAAGAATGCGAATTGGTCAAAAAAACATGTTTGGTGAGCAGTGGGTTAGTGGTGAGTTAATTGACAAAATAAATCATCTTGGGCCAACCCCAACATGAACTTGTTGGTGTAATCATACTTCATTTATTATTATTATTATTTTCTCATTTTGCAAGATGAAATTGTCTTTCTCCCCAACTTGCAAAGAAAAATATTCCCTGAATCTTCATGAAATGAAATAAAGAAATGTAAATACTTTTCATAATTGTATTGACTCGACCCTCACAAAATTTCGTAAGTTGCAAAATAAATTGTCATCCCTTATCACCCAGTCTCTACTCCCTTGTAATTTGCTAATTTGATGGCTAATTCTACAGCCAAAAAATGTCAAAGTCAGAGCCACTAATAACATTTTGGGGTGTCAATGGTAAGCAAATGTGTAAAGTCCGTCTAAATTCCATACGCCACTGTCATACGTTTATATGATGCAAGAATGACGGTTTGAAGGCAAAGCTTCATTCTAATTTTTGTATTTTGTTTGTATGACTGCTAATAAGCTATGTATAATAAGGTAACCCTATCCTTCTTAGTCCCTCTACATATGTCCTAATATTTGAATTAAAGACCTCTAATATAAAAAAATCAAGCCCCGAAGTACTGACATATTTACGAAATTTTTGCTTTTGATGAAGTAAATGTAGGTTAAGAAATCTTTCTGTTTTTGTTAAGCAACTCTAGGTAACATCATATGATAATGCTTACAAAGTACAACCCGTGTGGAGTCTAATATTGATTAATAATGTTTCTTTCTTTTTTAATAATGTTTTTATTTACCAAGAAACTTAATTACAATAAATCAGTGACTTTATATTGAATAGTATATTTTTAATTAAATTAAAAAGATGCGAAAGCTAACTTATGATATCATCTATCAATTATACCTTTGAAAAAATGCATTACACACCTTGGACATTCATGAACGAAATGAGTTACTTTTGCATCCAGCCAGCTAACTGATGTGTGGGTAACTCCGAACTGCAAAGTACTAAAACCCTAGAAGAGATGAATAAAAAGCACATAACCTATAATATGTTGATTCAAGTGGAAAGATTTTAATTTTTTAAAATAAAATCTCAAATTTAAATCTTATAAATTAAGAAATAGACACAAAAAAAGTTTTCTCCTTTATGTGTCCAACACAATTTGACTCTAAATTAATCGATAATCAATATAATTTTTAAATACCGAAATATTAGTATAAATAAATAAATAAATAAAAACACATAAAATGCCCAAAAGTCAACCTTCCTCCTTGATTAGCTTAAATACATCAGAGTTTCCCCGTCCAAAACAAAAAAGGAAAAAATAAATGAATTAAAAAGAATTAAGAGTTAAAAAATTGCGTGTGAAAGAAGTGAAAGCAATATGGACTCGTCGCTACAGCCAAAATTTCCAACAGGATGGAATAGAAAAATATAATGGAGAAATAAAAAGGGGCTCCATAACGTTATCTTCTATGTACATGATCCCCTTACTCTACTACCGGTAATCATTGTATAGAAACCTTTCATATTGTGTTCCTTTAAGTGCATTTTGGACCTGACCCCAGTTCTCAACATGACTGGATAAAGATCCTTTGTGTATCTTCACCTGACGACTTTTTAATTCCTTCCTTGGAACCTTCAGAAATTCTTGAACCTCAACTAGTTTCTGTGAGTAAATAGAAATACCATCTCTTAATGACCCATAGCCATTATCAAAATAACAATAATAATAATAATAATAATAATAATAAATAGTAACATGAGAAAATGATCAAGGAATAAGTAAACTAAATGCTTTATTTAGAAGTATATTTAGAAGTATTTTTCTCTTACAGTATGGTTTTTTAGTACATCCTCATAGTAAAGGATGATGTGCCTTGTGCTCTTGAAGTATTCCAACGCTTTTGTAGTTGTGTCTTCCGCCTGCCTTAGATTTGGTATCAATGTTGTTGCATTGATAAAAGGCTTATAGCTTGCCAGTATCTCTGCCTGAAATAATAACTTTACAGTTGAAAATTTGCATGTACTACAGAGACAACACACACACACACACACACACTGACCTCTTTAGTTGAATGAACATGAGACTTGTGGGTTCCATTAAGTAGCTTAGCATGAGAATCATAAGAGTTTGCTAGTACTGAGATCATCCTGCGCAAGAGATTCCTCCTAAAAAGAAAAATAGTTGAAACACCCCGCGTTTTGAAGTATTCTACAATTTCTTCATGATGCTGCATCAACCCCTGCAGTAATGGATAAAAATTAAGAACATATATGAACACAAACCCAAGTTTGTAGCTGTTCAAAAAAATAAAATAAAACAAACCCAAGTTTGCATTAAAAATAACATAGCAATGTAGTGTTCTCTGTGTATGTGAAATTTGCTTGAAAACTGTTATCAGCAAGAAATTAATTAGTGAGGAACAAATACTGAGATTATAAGTATTTTCCAAACGAGAGAAAGGTCATCTTATTTTCAAATATATTATCACAGCTTTACACCCACATTTCCTCAAGTAAGGTAGTCTAAGAGCATTCTTATTTCAGAGGTTTAAAGATCATTATGGGCAACATCAATAGAAATATGACCTCATCATATTCAGAAGAGTACTGTAAATATTTATTACTAAAGCTCCTATATCAGCCAACTTTGAGATCACTTTGTAATCCCAAAAGGTTCTCTAACTTCACACACAAGTATTTGGTCCAACAAGCCTTGTACCCAGTTGCAAAAGCTTTTTATTTCTACATGATTTGTTCAACTCTTATCCAAAACTTCTATCCCTTATTCTGTGAAAATTTTTAGTTTCTCTTCTTAATTCTGCATAAAATAGATATTCACAGCACAAAAGCCATATCCGTAAATGTTTAACTGTTAAGTAGAATTCTTGAGTTATAATGTTTCATTATATGTCTCATGTTCCCCCCAAACTTGCTGTTAAAAAGCTTCAAAGTGAGCTTCTTAGTATTTTAAAAAAGCTATTGTGGGTTGCAACAACTTTATCTGACAGCAACATCAAAATATTTACAAAATGCTTCTATATTGAAAAGCATTAAAGAGCTGTAGTAAAAAGCAGAGAAACAAACTGTGACAGAAAACAATGTTACAATTTAGCCCACGTATAGATTGAGGGAAATGAAGGAGAGAAAATGGATTTTCCTCTTCCTTCCTCTCCCCTTATTTTCCATAATCTGAACATGGGATTAGAGTTTCAAGATGTAATATGGATTTGAATGGTGGAAACTACACAATTACATGGAAAAATAATGGCCAGAGTTAAGAACATAAGGATTTTAGAATTCTGAAACAACAATCAGATTTCAATAAAATAGGTTGATGCAGATAAGAAAAGTTTATATTATCAAGGATTTCCCTCCTTATCTCCATCATCGAGGATTTCATTCCTTATCTGCATGAAAGGTCTTATGGTTTAGAAAAACTAAGAAAAGCCACTTGCAAAAATGTTTAGAGAAGAAAAAATTAGAATAACAAGAAAGGGAAACAAACATGTGCCGATAAACCAATAAGTCATAATTTTAATATTTACATGCAAGCTAGAATAGAATATAAAAAGCACTACTATGTTTGCAAGGATTCAGACTCCTATGAATGAAGCAAACTTTTAGACTATTCCTTATCTTAAGTGGTTATTTACCAACCATCCAGGGCTAGTGACCAATCAATTCTGGATCCATTACAAACTTCAATTAGTAGGGAGCCAGATTTTGGGGTCTTTTATCTTATTCATCTTTGATAATCTAATTCTATTTCCTCAGGCCTTTTATTAGTGGACATTAACAGTATGAGTTATGACTCTATCATTCTAGGTGGTACAAGCATGGGAGAGAAGAAATGAGATTTTATTAAGACAAAATATTTGCTTCATAGAATTAGTACTACAAAGCAAGCTTTCTTGTATAAGAAAACTAGAAAAAGAGTATGTTAAAAAGTTAGAAACTAAAATGAAGGCATATTGCAGCCTCACCTGATTAAGCATCCACTTTAAGCCAACAGCAGCTGTGCACTCATTTTTGGAGGCACTAGTCAACCAATCTAAATTATAGACCTTATCCAAAGTCTCCAAAATTGTAGAGACATTACTCCTCCTGACTTTAACAGAGAATATCTCCCCATTTGAGCTAATGTTAGTATGGCTGTTCAATAATGTCTCAAACCATCCACTCCCAGATCTCTGCATTGATAGAATGGCAAAATACCGCACTGGATTGCAAGCACATTCAGCCCTAATCATGCACCACAAAAAATACCATTACAAGTTTTCACCGTAAAACTAACTTAACAAAACAGAAAGCAACGGAGATGTCTTCTTACCGGCTAAATGTTTTGGGTTTTGGGTAGTGCACATAAGGAATTTCCCATGGCTCAATATTGGGTTCAGGGCAAGCCCTTTCAATTACTTCAACTTTCAAAAGTCCATCCTTAGTGCCACTGCTTATTTGCTTTAGACAAATTGTGAATATATAAACGCCGCAGACCATTACAAACACCAACACAACCATCCTCAGCACCAAAGGAGATCTCTTTGGAGACTTTAGGAGGAAAGAATCCTGTAAGTCATTAATTATTTACTTACAGGATGCTAAAAGAGCTAACACAGAAATTGACAATATGCGTATTTATCAGCTTAAAAGAGGATACCATAATTTAAAAATCCTTTTAACCATCTAAATCACAGGAAAATATGATAACAGTACTATTGACAGTGATGCTGAAGACCAATATGCGTCTGACTGTCCAAGAAAGATACTTGAAGTGAAAAGAAGATATTCATCAAACATGCTAGTCCACATTAAATTTATCATATTTAACATAACACATATCAACATACGCTTCTAATCCAGACACACCCTTATGAAAATGAAATCAGGGGTTGCTTCCACACTTAATAAAGATGGGAAATTTATAAGATATACAAAAAACCCAGATCAGAATATTCACATGGAACCCAAAAAACTAAAATAATAATAATAATAAAATAAAATATGAGAATCTTCAATTTCACACCAGACAATGACAACGCGAAAAACTAATTAAACAATACAATCAAAAGCACGAGGTAAGATAACAGCATACCTTACTGAAGAACCCGGGATCATCAGCCATGGTGTAAGAACCTCAGAAAGGAGGAGAATCCAAAGGCATTGGCCACATCAAAGAGTAAGATTGTTCCCCGTTTGTTATATATATATATATATATATATATATATATATATGATTTTCAATCAAATACAGAAGCTTTTATTGTATCTCTCCAAACCAATTGAACCCAAAAAAAGAATTTCAAAATCAACCCAGAAATTAAGAGATGGAGAAGATGAAGGAGAGGGTCCAACACGAACAGTATAATGATTGCAGATGATGGGGAGCGACCGTTGTTTGTCGCTCGAATGCTTCCTTATTTTTCTGTTGCTTCGCGTTTACAGATCTCTTTTGGAGCTTCGCGAGGACTTGTAATAGGAGTAGTCGTTTTAAACTTCTCGGGGGATTTTATACTGATACGGAAGAAAATCGCAATTATGCAATTATTTGATTTTACAATTAAAGTTAGTCCTGCATTATGAATCTATGATTTAGGGATAATCCTTACTTTACATTTTTTTTAAAAAAATTTACGCATAAGAAAAAGTGTTTTTCAAGTGGTAATCTAGACATGTTCAACCATTTATTTTTTATTAATATTTTAAAAAATTAATTGTTAGATAGAAAATTTTATATAAATAAAATTACTATCTTTTTTTATTAAAATATAAGTAATAAATTAATATAAAAATTGATACACCTAATCTAGATAAATAAAATTTTTATTTTAATAGATAATTTTTAAAAATATTAATTAAAAATTAATTTTCAAACATATTTTCTACAAAAAAATTTTAAAAGATAATCTATACTACACTAATCTACTTTACACATAGTTAATAATTTGTTTGGTTTGAAATAGGAAAAGAAGGGAGGAAAATTTTCTTATTTGTTTAAGAAAAGTTAGAAGGGAGAGGTTTATTTTATTTTATTTTTATACTTTAATTAGTCTAAACAAATAAATGGAAGGGAGAGGAACTTCTGTATGTCTCAAACCAAATAATATATATATATATATATAATATTATAGATGTGAATGAAAAGAGGAAAGTTTTTTTTGTAAAAAGTGCATTAATTATTTTTTAATAATTTATTTGAAAATAAAAAAATTAATTTTATTTTCAATATTAATATCAAGTATAGATATTTTTAATTAAATAATTAATAAAATTAAAATTAATTCTTATTTTTATAATGATCATTAAAAAATATAATTAATACATTTTAAACATATACTCTTTAATATACAAGTTACAAAACTCATCATGAATCTTTAAATAAATAATAATAATTTAAAAATCAAAACCCCTTAAATCTTCATACAATACCTAATTAGGTGCATTTTAAGGCTCAAATTAAGTGGCTCAATAATTTTCATTCTTAAAGCCAATCATTATTGCCTCAACCGAATTATTATTGTCTCAACCCAATTCCTTTCCTATATTAAATCTTTTTACTCAATTAAATTTTACTTTATAAAGTTTACATTTTATCACATTTTAATTAAAAAAAAGGGTTTTTTAATGGGTATTGATTAAGTGTGTAATAAATATAATTTTTTATAAATTTATATTAAAAAATAAAAATTAAATTTTAATTTATCATTTATTTAATTCAATTCATCAATTTAATAACAATACTGAAATTACTATTAATTTTTATATCTTTTATATATATTTATGATAAATATCAGATAAAGATTAAAAAATCTAATAAAATACTAAAATAAAATAGTGATAAAAATTGCTAACAAAGCTGCGCAAGGCGTGGCATTTTAGTTGGTTGGCATATAAAATTATAAATAAAAATTATAGCTAAAAATTCTCGCAAAAATCATTTTCCCTTTTATAAATGTGCATCCAGCACCAGTTCCCGTGTCAAAAGAGGCTTTTTGACTTGTGCTTTTCGACCTTTTAAATTAGTAACGGGCTTGTGCTTTTGCCAATTTGCCTTCTTTTCTAAGGTTTACTTTACAGTTTACACAAACCCACAAAAAGAAAAAAGTGCATCTTAATCCAAGTGTATTTGTAACTTTAATGAATGGCTTTGATTTGTTTATTAGGAGTTAATGGCTTTAATAATTGATAGAAGGTATTTTTTTAGAATAGTGTTTATAGCCCAACCTATAAAAAATTTTAAGTAGAAAGAAACTTTAAATTTACATTATTTTTAGTAAAGTAATATAGAAAAAAAGTTAGACTAAAATAATTACATTTTACTGTAAAAACTAATAATTTATGGTTATTTTTAATAAAAATTTACTAAAATGATGTAGTATTAAGGTATATTTTTATTTAAATTTTTTATTATTTTAGTTTATAAATATTTTTTAATTTTTTGATAAATGAAAATATAGGGAATTCAGGAAATCAGTGTTTTTTAACGAAAGGGAAATTGTTTTAGCCTCTAGTTTTAGATTTGACCAATTCAATTAATTGGACCGATTCAAACCCACCTATTTAATTGAAAAAAATTGTGTTTTAGTACTTAATATACTCTTTTGGCCGCTCATGCTAAAAACACACCTTTTTATTAATCGAATTACTTATAAAAATAATAAATTAATATAAAAATGAATCCTAATAATAGCTTGTGTGACCAACGTTTAGAAATTTCATTCACACAATGAAGTTGAATATCCCTTACCCCTATTTCTCTTCTCCTCTTTTCAACTCCCGAAGTTCAAAAAAAAAAAAAAAATCAATATAAGAAATGTGCCATCATGCTACATACCTCACTGTGATTGAACTGGCTCTAAAGGAAAAGAACTTATTACAGCACTTAGAAGGTCATAGGTTAGATTCTCTACAATGGCTGATTAATTTATTATTATCTAATGTCATTGACCTAAATAGTTCAGTGATCATTTTTTTTCGTTGAAAGTAAGAGATTCTAACTCTGAATCGCATGATATGCGAGTGAAGTGAAATAGTGGAATAAGAAATATGACATAATTGCATCTCATTGTACAATCAAGATAAAAAAAAAATATTTATTATCATCTAACATACAATAAAAGTTAAGATGTCTTTTGATAATTTAAATTGCTAAATTAATATATTATTATCTAACATAAGAACTAAAATTCATTTATACACATTGACTCATATAACTTAAAGAAAATCATATAGGACCAGTCTTCCTACCGTCTTGGGCGCCACTCCGGCTACGGGACAAGTTTAGTATCCATGGCTAAACCTCCTCAAGGGTACCCAAATTTTGCAATTTTCAAACACTAAAAATAAAAAACTAAACTAGGTAATAAGAGTGCTCTACTTAATATTAATAGAACTTCTTGATGTGAAATACTTTTGTTTCATTCCTTCACTGGTAAATTGAACAAATTAAAGCATAAAGCAATCTTACAATTGTAAAAACTAAATAGCATTGCAATCTTCGAATACTAATGATGCAATTTCACTTGAGACTTCCCCTATTCAAAGACATCCCTCTGTGAGAATTGAGCTCGCCTAGCCAAAACATGAGCAACATGATTTGCCTCCCTAAATGCATGTTGTGCAAAACAACAGTACTGGAAAACTTTCATCAGCCCTTTTGCAATCCTTTAAGATTACCCCCAACTCCGAGACCATAAGCATTAGATAACAAAGCAGCCACTATATATGTTGAACCACATTTCTCAATGTGATTTTTGAAAGAACTTTTATTTAAGAACATGTATTAAAAGGAAGGTATTTTAAAATAATACTAACTATGATGGTGCATGTGATATTAAAATGAGTATTTTTATTGTTCTCCATTATACATTAAATCTCTTTGACACTATCTATGTGCTATGCTGCCTCGTTGCAAAAATTCCAAACACTTCAATGGGCAGTCGGTTTTTGTTTTTGAGGTTTCCCTTTTTCCATTATTTTGTTTTCAAGGTTTCGAAGCCCATTTTTGCTATGGGAAAAAAAAATCGTTGTTATATCATTTTTTTTTTTTTTTACAAAAACCTCAAATTAAAACACGGACAACAAAACGAAGAGAAAATGAAGAAAGATCCAAATAAAAAGTGTCAAATTTTTGTTGGCTGTGTGGAATGTCGACCGCTAGTTTCTAGGCTAGAGGACTCTAAAGCCTCTGAAAAGTACAGAGACTATTTCAAGTTACTCCATTGAAATTGTATTTATTTAGATGTAGGTTCTTTAATTTGGGGTCTAAAACCTCTGAACTTTTCAGAGACTATTTTAGTTACCCTATTGAAATTGTATCTATTTAGATGTAGGTTCTTTAATTTGATGTCAAATAGAAATCACAAGTTTAACATTAACCGTTCACCTTGAAAAAACTATCCCAAAATTCCATTAACTTTTTTTATCCATAAAATTCCATTATTCTTTTTTCTTCTTTTTGAGCTAAATGAAATTTTATTTATCAACAAACTTGCCATAAGCATCAACGTAGATAAGAAGAGCTCTATCCCACAAATAAAGACTTACAACTATTCATTTGTAAATAGCATGATAAAGCCCAAATAAGGATAAAAAAAATAAGAGTAGATCAAATTCAACAACATTTTAATAGTAAAATGATGATGATGCTATTTACATACACCCTTACTCAAGGGTTTCAGTACTTACTAAACACCTTTCAATTTACCCTTAAGATTAATATGCACAATCTCCATTGATGCCGCAGCCATAACAACTATATACTAAGATAAATTTGATACCAATTTCTTTTTCTTTTTCTTCTTGCCCATTGTTCCCTTCGCTAGATCTGAAGAAGAAACTTGCAAATATACAAAATCAATTTGAAACTACTTGTTGGAAAAAGAAACGAGGAAAGAATAAAACCAAAAGAAAGGAAAGATACTAAAGAGGAAAGTTGGAGAAAGAGACAGGGGACTATTGAGATAGGGGGAAGATATATAAGGAGAGAAAGATTATGAACAAAGAGAACTTAGATAAGAAATGAAAGAAAAGAGAGGTGGAGAAAGAAAGAAAGTGAGAATAGAGGAAGAGGAG